GCATTGAAGCAACTGCCATGTGATTGGTTGATTAGATAATTGCATTAATGAGAAATTGAACAGGTGTTCCTAATAATCCTTTAGGTGAGTGTAGATTAAGATACTTTATAAAGACCCTTTATCAGCTGTGCTTACTAATGGTTTGCAGTCCCCGGACTTCTACATCAGATGAGGCACGAGACAAGGTTGCCCTCTCTCACCTCTACTTTTTGTTTTAGCCATAGAGCCGTTTGCAGAAGCAGTGAGAGGAAGCCCTGATATACACGGCTTAACCATTGCGGATAGACAACATAAAATTACCCTCTATGGAGATGATAATTTGATTTTCTTGACCAAGCCCAACACATTGATAGATTTGGGGCCCTTTCAGATTATAAAATAAACTTTGATAAGTCAGAAGCAATGCCCCTGGGTAGTATGACACATAAACCTCAGACCTCTCTTCCCTTTCCCTTCAAATGGTCTCCAGAAGGTTTTGTATATTTGGGAATATTTATAACACATATTTTTGACCAAATGTATGTAACAAATTTCACGCTGCTATTTGAACATATTAAGCTGGACTTAGAGAGATGGAATACTTTACCTGTTTCATGGCTGGGTCGTGTCGCTTTGTTGAAAATGAACATTCTCCTTAGGTTGCTAGATCCAATCCAGATGATACCTGTTATATTTTCACAAAGAACTGTCAAGCACCTGCATAGTTTGTGTAGTTCTCTAATATGGTCTAAGAAAAAGCCAAACCTCAAAATAGCCACCCTGTGCATCCCACCCTCTAAGGGAGGTCTTGACCTCCCAGACATCTGAAAATATCAGTTGTGTATTCATTTGCGGGCTATTGCTGACTGGATGTGCAAGGACCAGCGTCACTTCGGCTTAATACAGAAAGCTCCATGTCCAAATTTCCGTTAGTAAGCATTCTATTTCACAAAGGACTCAAAACCCTCAAGCCAACATGCTGTAACCTAATTACGATCTGCATTGTTAAAGCATGGCGGATCATTAGAACACTAGAAGGACAATCTTGTATTACCTCTGTTTTTACTCCAATATGTGATAATCCAGATTTTCACCAGGAACCATTGACAGTGGCTTTTGAGTTTGGGCATCTAAAGGGCTCTCCACTCTACATGATTTACTAGATGGGTCCACTCTCATGTCTTTTAACCAATTAATAGAGAAATTTAGTATCATTCAACAAAATTATTTTCATTACTTACAGTTAAGAGATTTTGTTAGGAGGGACATTGCTATTCTTAATGTCCAAAGTGTCTCACATATACAGAAACAACTCTTACTGCTTCGGTCTGGCGATACCATAAGCTCTCTCTATAACATTCTCAAAGGGTATAATTCTGCAAACACTTCTCACTTAAAGGAAATATGGGAGAGGGAACTTGATGTTGAGATTACGGATCATGAATGGTCTGAGGCTTGGAGGAACACAAATACCCAAAGTGTTTGTAATAAAGCTAAAGCGATTCAACTTAAGATTTTACACAGAGTTCATATATCGCCCTCCCAATGCCTTGTTTAATAGGAACTCTTCCCTACAATGTCCTAAGTGTAAAATAGAGACAGGTAGTCTCACCCACTGCCTGTGGTCTTATTTAAAAAAATCAGCTATTCTGGTGCATTATAAGGCAAGAAACAAACAGAATCTTATCCATCTCTGTAGAGTGTGACCCCTTATATATAATATTACTTGGAATTCTAAATGATCACATTACAGATAAAAATAAAAACAAACTGTACAAAATATTAACATTCTGTGCCAGAATATGTATTCTCTTGAACTGGATATCAGACAAAGTTCCGTCGATAACAATTTGGTTTAGTGTTTTATTTCAGTACTTACATGCTTGTCAAATGGCAAAGAGAATGTGTTTTATAAAACATGGGAACCCTTTATGTTATATATTGGTCTAGATCAGGGGTCTCCAACTCCAGTCCTGGAGAGCTACCGTAGGTTTTCTATCCTACCTGGCTTCTGATCAGCCACACCTGTTCTCAGGTAAATACCAGGAGCAGGTGTAGCTCATCAGAAACCAGGTAGGATAGAAAACTTACTGGATAGTAGCTCTCCAGGACCGGAGTTGGAGACCCCTGATCTAGATCTTTCTAGCGTTCTTACAATAGGGTTTACATAGCCTCCTCTTACGCAATTTGCATAAACAGTCATGATTCTTTTGTTACCCACCCACTTAAATGTATGTGCCGAGCTGTTTTGTTTTGTTTTATGGTATTGTGTTGTGTGGTGTTACGATCCCCAGTTACTTCATGTGTGTGTGTGTTCTGTGCAAAAAAATCAATAAACACATGCATATAAAAAATAAATACATTTCTGAAAAATTGTTACAGATGCTGAGGATATTGCAGTTGCTGAAGTAGTTCATTAATAGCTAGCGCATGAACATGCAAAATAAATTTTGCAGAACCCTGTGTTCCATTCACTACAGGTTCTCCTTTTAATAAAGTAATCCGGAAAAAGCCGGAAAATAGATTTAATATGTTCATAGGAAAAGTACATGGTATTTGTTTCTTTTAAAAAAAAAAAAAAAAAGAGAGAGAATAACCAATTGTGTGTTGTTGGCAAATTCATCACAAACAGGGTTGTCAACTTTGGTCAGATGGCTGGTGTGAGATTTTTAATTCAAGACAAGGCTGCACCCACATTTACATGTATGTAGAGTTACATTAGCTTGTAAATAGTCTGTAGGGTTTGCAAACTACCCCAATGCTTCTGATGTGGCTAATTTTATATTTCTAATGGGATAATACAGATTTGCCTTAAGAATTCTTGTGAGAGTATAAGAATCTGAAAGTATGAGAGTTACGCCAAATGCATGAGAATTCAATTCAATTCAGCTCAATTTAATTCAAATCAAATGACTTTATCCCCAAGAGGCAATTATAAAGGCATGTGGCACAGCCACCATTCACACATGACAATAAATACAGAATAAAAAGGACATGTGCATATAAAAGGCAAGGTGCTTTGCTGCTAGGCAAAAGTTAATGATATGTCTTCTAATAAAGTTTCATTAAGAAGTTCCATTAAAAGGTCTGTTAATGTGATGCTGAATCACCCATGTTGAGAGTTGAGGAGCTGGACAGCCCTGGGACAAATGTTGCCCTTCTCCTCTGTGTCCTGCAACTTGGACAGCGAAGCCTGCGCCATGAAGGGAGCCATTCAAACATGGGGAACAGTATATGTGAGGGATCCTGTAAAATCCTGCAAGCTGATTTTAAGAGTCTGTTGTTCACATAGGGTGGAGAGAGCTCTAACAGGGTGACCAATCATTTTCAACTTTGGCAGCGTTCAGCAGATGCTTCCTGTTTCATAGGCTGATGGAGTAAAACCAGCAGGTGAAGGAGACATGTCATGATACTTTCAATAATAATGGGGTATCCGTGGTTGTATTAGTGTATCAGAGTATCAATAGTTCTACATAAAGTCAACCCTGCACAGAATCAAAGAGTAAGCTTTTGAATGGTTTCTTGTGTATATGGTATATTAATGTATCTCCAAAAACAAACAAACAAATATATAAATAAATTACTGGGGGAACCCCAACCCCCATCCCTGCTTTGCAAATTCTATCTACACATATTTCTTCAGTTTTAAAGTGCCAACCCAAGTGAAGGTCCCAAGATGACAATTTTGTCAGGGGGCCCAGAGTTTCTAGATAGTGGTGATCACTGATACCAAGACTGATCATTAAATTATGCTTGTAAATACCAAGACTGATCATTAAATTATGCTTGTAATATGCAATAAATGAAATGTTAACAATATTGCAACATGATGTTTCAAACAAAAGATGCATCGGTAACATTAATATAGCTCATTCTAATTTAGATACTAGTATGTTGCTTTTGAAAGTGTAACAGACAAAGGCACCACTACAAAAAAACAGCCATACCTCCTTATCACCTCATGTATAAATCCAAATCAACAAGTTGCTTAAGGTTTTTCTGGAGAAGACAAACAAATGGCAATAAAACGACCAGTCAATATCCAGACAAATCACAACTGGCGTCCATGTACGGTCTCTGTATTTCCAAACATGTTAATGACTAATTCTCTGTTTATTTCACTACTGTTTCATTATTATTAATAAATTATTTGTATGTGTAAAACATTCATATTTATATACACTAATGTCATTCTCAGGTATTTCTGTTAAGTAGAAGACTATGTAGAGCTTATGTTACTATTTTTCCCATTAAAAACCATTTTTAAGGCTCCCAGTATTGAGAAAATTATGCAATTTATTTTACCTTTATTTTTACTATGTAAAATTATTATTTTATTTTTACTAGGTGTTAACTATATGTTAATAGCTCAGTTACAATAATAACTGTTTAGCCAAATAGTTTCCATATTACAGATGATACTAAAGCTCTTTTAAACAGTATGTCCATAAGTTATTTTCTGAACATTATTTCTGACCACAATGTGTATCTCAATATTAACAGCGGCTGTTACATGCTGTAGTGTTTTACTGTGATGTGCATGCCATGTCCTGTCTCTAAGTTACACCATGATCCTGAGAAATGCTGTCATATCACAGTACACATTCAAATCTGCACACATTTTCAGACTCCTCAGAGGTTATTCCACTAAGTAAAATGTGCTATACTTGTCACAATTCCATCTATACAATAGCAGACATACAACCCTTACATATTGATGAAAACTGTATATAAGCTGCAAGTCCTCTCATTATCTCGATATCTGCATTAAAAATAATAATTGCAAGTATGGCTGTTCTCAGCTTCCGTGCTCCAGTATAGTCGGGACAACATTTAATATAACTGTGTATGACCTTTTACTAGTGAGCTAACAACTTACCAGCTCTTTGTTTAGTTGTTTGATCTTGTTATAGAAGTAGAATAAAATGCATATGGCTCCAAGCAAAACAAGCACTAATACAATTATGACGGTTAGATATTTAAGATCTAAGGGAAAGAAAAACAAGACATTTAGTGTGAGCCTAGATTTTTGTGGCATGTAACAAGGGTCAGCTGAAGGCCTACATTTATATAAGCAAATCATCAACTAACCCTGTGTTGGCCCTCCACCTACTGTGCTTGGGTGCTTGATTTCTTTATTTTAACACTTTTTTCACATAAAATCTTTAACCCAAGCTTCTTGTTACATGCAACAGGGGATTTATTCCCAGCACTAGGGTAATACACCCAGAACATCCATCTATCCTCCAATCATCCATCCTATCCCCCCAAAAAATCAGTCAAGTCTCATGACTCCTTTCCATATGAAAAAATTCATTAGACTGTGGGAGGCAACTTGCACAACCATGGGAGACAGAAACACCACACTTAAAGACCGTAAGTGGGATTCAAAACCCCAAACATTCTGGGAATTAAAAACAGATCCTAGTTTTTAATCATTGTCTATAAATCAGGGTTATTTATTTCTTTGTTTGGTGATCACATAACACCCCTGTTATATGTTATTCTGTTATTATGCTGAGAGAAGCTGCAGGAGCATGCATTACTGGGGCTAGTTCTGTGTGCTAGAACATAAGAACATAAGAACATAAGAACTATACAAACGAGAGGAGGCCATTCGGCCCATCGAGCTATTCGCTCTCGGTATGAATGTAGTAATAGTTCTACATAAAATCAAAGTCATTCTGGGTGGGTCTTGGCCTCTGGCAAGGTTTATAGCAGGACAACTCAATAATTTTCCATAGGGCAACAGCTCCCAAAATTTTTTTTGGGGGGTGGGGTCCATCTTGTTATATTTTGCCGAGCAGAGGGTGATCACTGGTCAATGTAGTCAGAAGATGGATGGATGGATGGATGGGATCTAGGGATGCTGAGATCAGGTAGCACTTCCTTTAATGTGTTTGGTTGTTTGTCTGCAAAGATCAGCAGTTGGCCCCTTAAAAAATTTACATTGCCATGTTCTCTGTTTCATAATCATAAAAATTAATGAGATTCTATTTTCTTTTAATCCATAAGAGTGTATGGATGAAATCCAATAAAAGCAAGTCACAGGCGTATTTAGTGTTAGTTTTTCCAAATGGAATGGAAACATTTGCTCCTACTGAAAGCATGCTTAAAAATCAGTATTGCCTGTATTATTTACTCAGAAATAGAGTATGGAATACTCACCTCCTTTTTCTGATACAGTTGGTAAATTTGTTGCAGCAGTAACGAGAGATGTTGGATTTTCTGTTCCTGTGTAAACTGTACTACTGGGCATTTCACTTGAGCTTATATTATTTTTCGGTGGACATTTACAAGTGTAGTCAGCTAAATGACAAAAAGATAAATTTCAAAACAAGTAGGAGGTTCATTTTACTGTCTGTATATTCCAATAACTGCTACAATGATTTTTAATATTAAGCAGAATATAGTAAAATCATAATAATTCATTTATAACATAAAAATCATTTGCAACTGTCTGTACTTAGAATATTTTGTACATTATATATTGTTTCATCCAATCTGCATTTAACTCATGCATCCTTTAATCCTATAATAATAATAATTGAATCACCTTGGGTAACAATTTACTCCCCAAATGAAATCCAATAAAAGCAAGTCAAAGGCATATTCAGTTTTACTATTTCAAAATGGAATGGAAACATTTGCTCCTACAAAAAGCATGCATAAAAATCAATGTTGCCTGTATTATTTACTCAGAAATAGAGTATGCAATACTCACCTCCTATTTCTGATACAGTTGGTAATTTTGTTGCAGCAGTAACGAGAGATGTTGGACTTTCTGTTCCCGTGTATACTGTACTACTGGGCATTTCACTTGAGCTTATATTATTTTTCGGTGGACATTTACAAGTGTAGTCAACTAAATGACAAAGATATAAATTTCAAAAGTAGAAGGTTCATTTTACTGTATGTATTCCA